CCAACTTTCATGTCCATGGTAGGGACACAAATTTAACAGATCTTTAAAACGCTCCTAAGCTTTATAGAGAGTTTCATTTTCTTTTTGAGCAAAATTCGAGATTTGCCATTTCAAATTGGTCTTATGGTGTGAGAAATACTTGTTGAAGAATGTCATCGTCATTTCTTCCCACGTACACATAGACCTGGGCCTAAGAGAATACAACCAGCTTTTGGCCTTGTCCTTTAGAGAGAAAGGAAAAAACTTTAATCTAACAGTATTTGCAGCCTCAACACAGCTGTGAAAGGTGGCCACCACCTCTTTAAACTCCCGGATGTGTACATATGGGTTCTCATTCTTTAACCCGTGAAAGGTTGGGAGAAGTGCAATCATGCTCGGCTTGAAATCCATAGGCGATGCATTCGGTGGGAACATGATGCAAGATAGGGTGGCCGTTCACGTTGGGTGCAGGTAATCTTGTAACGTCCTCTGCTGAACTTCCTCGTGTTGTGCCATTGTGAATAGAATTTGAAGTGCGAATTCCAACGACGAGTGTGAAGACGGAAGCGTAGAAGACGAGTCAGATAGAATTTCACTAGGGGTTTCTAAGTCTGGTCGTTGTGCAAATCTCCCTAGTTCGTCTCTATACCGATATCGGCATTCACCCTAAGCAACCCTTTTTTTAATTTTTAATTTTTTTTAATTTTTTTTAATTTTAATCAAAACAAAAGAAAATAATTATATAGTAACGTAAATTGTAACCACCGAGAGTACTCCCAGGAAAGGCTATAGCTCTTGGCTCAATGAATAGTCTCCTATACAGAGCAACGTTCCCAGAAAAGATTGGTGGGGCGAGGTCCACTTAAGTTCCAACTTTCCTAGATAGAACTCCGTCAATTGTACTTTCCACGTAACCACACAATTATTCTCAAAATCAATTATTAAATTTTATTGAATAGATTATGAAATGAAATCTAATTAATAGAAACTATTCCTAAAGTCAAAAGCCTAAATCTACCAAATCATGAAATTTCTAGATTAAGAATCTAAATTAGTCAACTAATTACAACCTAATCATAATCCTAAAAATTAATAAAGACTTAAAAGGAAAAATTAAATTAGGCAACAATTTGTGCAAATCTCCCTAGTTCGTCTCTATACCGATATCGGCATTCACCCTAAGCAACCCTTTTTTTAATTTTTAATTTTTTTTAATTTTTTTTAATTTTAATCAAAACAAAAGAAAATAATTATATAGTAACGTAAATTGTAACCACCGAGAGTACTCCCAGGAAAGGCTATAGCTCTTGGCTCAATGAATAGTCTCCTATACAGAGCAACGTTCCCAGAAAAGATTGGTGGGGCGAGGTCCACTTAAGTTCCAACTTTCCTAGATAGAACTCCGTCAATTGTACTTTCCACGTAACCACACAA